CTACAGTTCTTAAAACTTCTTTTGAAATCATTGTACTATAATTAATTCATTCCCCGCCCCCCCCCCCCCCGAGAAACAGGTTAATGGAGGCTGAAAGAGGGGTTGGGGGGAGAGAATGAAAATTGGATAGAATGTGTTGTCATCGGAAGATTTTTTTTTTCTTCCTTTTCTGCACTCAAAAGCTGCAACCGACCGACTCCATGTCATTCCTTTGCTCCGATCTGACTGTCTACAGAGCGGGTGGCTACAGGGATCGTTCGCAAACTTTATGACGTCAGGTTGTTTGTTTGTTTGTTTGTTGTTTTTAAATCTAACATTTTCTAATTTTAAAAGAATCTTTATTTAATTATTTTTAAAAACGTTAATTTAAGGTCGAAATTGCCTCAGGTATTATAGGTACGATGAAACACAGTTTTCTATTAATACTACATCTTAATCCATTATGGCATTTTATGAGAAGATCTTAAAGAATAAAATAAAATCTTAGTTTAGTTATAAAAATTTTATGTATGTTTTAATTTTTTTGGTGTGACGTGATTACGGAGGGGGGGGGGGAGAGAGAGAGAATTTGTGACACTTCGTGACAGGGGGGAGGGGGGTCTAAAAAGGTCATAATTAGCGTGAGGTAATTTACGCACGACCCCAAACGTATTAAAAGAGTGAATACAGAAAGTGGTTACCAGATTTGTTTAGAAATATCATAGTATGCCTATAAATGATTTTTTTTTTATTCTGAATTTTATAAGCCCAATTGGTAATGTTATTTATGCCTTTAAATATTAATTTTAATTATATATATGGCCAATTTTTTAAAATCTCTACCATTTTAAGAGGTAAGGGATGCAACTTATTTTTAATTTATTTGACGGCTAATTTTTAAAGGGAAACAACTTTACATACCCGTTATATGAAGATGTCCCTTGGGAGGCCCGTCCATAAAGTACATCACGTTCCGGAGAAGTCGGGGCGGAGGGGGTATAAGTTAAAGTGTGACAGTTTGTGACGCACGCGGGTGAAAAAAATGGATTTGTGGGGAGGTAAATATATTGTGTGACGTAACACATTTCATTTTTTGTTAATTATACAAATAAAACCTTAACATTTATGTTCAACGTTCTGAAGTGATAGATCTACTTTGACAGAAGATTGTACTTGTATGCATTGAATAGTTAAATAGTAATTGTGTTTTACAGTCGATTTTTAATAAGTAGTTCATTTGATCACAATTTTTTTAGTTTGAAAGTGCGATGTCAAATTATGTTTTTATTTTTTTTAAATAAAGGGGGGGGGCGGGGGTATGTGGTCTTGATAACATAACAGGGCGGTAAGGGACCGTCCATAAGGTACGTAACACTCAGAAAAAAAAGGGGGGGGGGGGGGGGGTGGTACAAGAAAGTATTGGAGCAGGGCAGCAGGGCAGCAGCACACCAGGCCAAGGCCTCCGGGGGTTGAAGCGGTACAGTGATGGTTGGAAGGACAGGTGGAAGGATGGATATGAAAATGGATGGATGGATGGAAAGATAGATGGATGAAAAGAGTTAAGAATGTATTAAAAGCTGGATGGAAGGATGGATGGGCAGATAGATTGCGATGGATAGAAAAATGGATGGACAAATGGACGGAAGGTTGGATGGATTTGTGGATGCAAAGATGGATGGAAGGATGGATGTATGGAAGGATGAGTGGCTGTAAGGATGGATGAAAGGATAGATGTAAGAATGAATGTAATGTAATGATGGATGGAAGTATGGATAGAAGGATGGGTGGACTAGGTAGAAAAGGGTAATGTGCCGTGTTGTTGTTTCGTTTCATTTCATGCCGTACCTCTGAGTGTCTTATTCACTGTCGTTTTTCACTCCACGTGACTCCACCCTTGCATGTATAATGGTACCATTTTATCCACTTGTTGGTAACATTGTCATTGTTTAGACTTTTAAAAAAAATCTTTTTCATACTTTTGTATAAAACAAGATTAAATGAAATAAAGGCCTTCTGTCCAATGTGAAATTAAATATATTAAACGTTACGTCCAAACAAAGGGACGGCGGAAGTCAATGAAGGGTCGGCGTAAGTCCATGAACGGTCGGCGGAAGTCAATGAAAGGACGGCGGAAGTTAGTGCAAGGTCGGCGGAAGTCAATGAAACGTCAGCAGAAGACTATGAAAGATCGGCGTACATCAATGAAAGGACGGCGGAAATCAGTGAAAATCGCGGTGAAAGGATAGCAGAAATCGATCCAAAAAAAAAATGTGACGTTTCCGCCGCAAACCACTCTTTCCATTCCTGGTGGTTTTCCACGTTTGGGCCACACCAGTTTTCGGTCAATGGAAATTTTTTAGGGTCCTCTTGTCTATTAATTAATTTTGAATACATTTTTTTTAGCAGGATGGCTGTATTTCATATCAAATTGAAGGAAATTAGACAGAGAATTATAATATGTAACAGATAAAACAATAAGAAAACAATCGTTTAAAATTTACTGGTAATATTATGAGATCAAATTTTTAAAAATATGCGCACCATATCTGAACTTACCAGACTACCATTATGGTCTGTGTAGGTGGTATCCTATTCTGCTTCAATCCTCAGAAAGTATATCCATTTTTTATCAGGATGCATTTTCATTTTACATTTTGAAAATATTCCAATCAGTGACAGAGGTATACACATTTTTGGAACGTTGGGAGTAGTTTTTATCTGAATCCTCACCGTTGACATCGTAACAAAGTGTTTTTATTTTAAAAATCACAACTTTTGAACCACTTGCTTGAGCTAGAAAGTTGATCGTGGTGGTTTTGTAATCCATTCTCATTCTCTAGGCTCTATACTATACAGCTGTAGCACTTTTATATTTTTAAAATATTTACCAAAGTACCGACTGTAACCACTCTTAGTAATAGTAATATTATTACTATAGTATCATCTCCACTATTTTCATTGGGAATTTACCGACCCATCAGCCGATCAGAAAGCTGAAAATCATCACGAGAATCAAATTCAAATGATTTAATTTATTATTCATTGTATGATTGTTATTGTCTGATGTTTCAGCATCAATAATTTGCAATAAAAGCTCTTGTGCCTGCAATCTTCACAACCTACGTGGTCTGGTAACACCTGATGCGGTTGGAGTAGGCGTGGCAATTGCTTTGTTTACAAAAGTTTCAACAGGAATCGATCTACCATAAATATTTATAAGAAAAACACACTTAAACAAGCACTACTTCGAAAAGAAAGAAAGTAGCGAGAGTTATCCTTCGTTTAAGAACATAAAAAGTCGGATTGATAGCCGCAGGAAACGAAATAAACTACATAAATTATTTCAACGTTACACCGTGGATTTGCACAAACGCGACTAGTCAAATCGACGGAGTAAAGTGACTTGGCATGGCAAGAGTTAAATTAAATTTCTTTTAGCAAAAACAAATTTTACAGAATATTTCCGCTCTTCATTTGAAATAAAAGCCCTTTGCTTGTCACGTGGACATCAAACTTATCTGACAGTGACGTATACAAGAAATAAGTGTTTCAGCCAACAAACTGGTATTTATGAAGGGACAGTCCATAAAGTGCGGCACGACCCTCCCCCTCCCCCCCCCCGGGTCGGGAGGATGGGACAGGAGGTTCAAAAAAAGTTTGTGACACGGTTGAAGGATGGGGGGAGGGACAGATCTTGTGTGATGTCATATCATACAAATTAGACCTGAAATTGACAGTAATAGTTGAACTTCTACTTTCTGCTGTGATTTTTAAGTCACTTTTATCAATTTAAGTTTAAATAATGAAGTGTGCTTTAGATTAAATTTTAAATAGCATTTAATTTTTAACAATTTTTTTTTAGTCCTAAAGTGTAACGTACTTTAAAACAACTTGAAAACAAATTATTATTTTTATTAATCGTTTGTTATATTATTTTATGCTATAAAACAGTGTTTTAATGTTAACTCTATCAATAAATGATATTCTTGTGTTAAGTATAATTTGTTTTTAAAGTTTTAATTATTTGTTTTTCTTTCAAATGGAATTATAATTGCATAAATTTCAAAATTATGCTTGCAAATTAATTTCATATCAAATGAATTGCATAGCAATGAAATTTTATAGGCTGACAGTTCACAAAACTCTAATCAACTGTATTTGTGCTTAGAATGTGAATAAAATAAACATATTTCTCTAGTCTTTCTAACAAATATACTTATAAAATAAGGAACAGGTCTGTCATTAGCATTAGAATCACAGTGCATATCTTTGGTTATTGTAACCAATTCCAGGTAGTTATATTTAATTATTATTTTCTGACCTTACTGGGTGTGTGGCCCTCATTGGGATGGCACCTTAAAAGGGGGCTGCCAAAATACACCCCCCCCCCCAATTATTCGTTATTGCCATATTTGCGTTATGGTTTTGAATATGCAAAATTGTAACACTGAGTTTAAGCAGTACCGGTATATTGAAAACTGTAATGCACCATTGTCACTTCACTTCATTATATTGTTACATAAAAATCTTGCCAGTTAGGCCCTCAGAATGAAGGAGATAGCATCAGATGCACACTTCACTTCATTATAGCGTTTACATAAAAATATTGCCAGTTAGGCCCTCAGAATGAAAGACACTTCACTACATAAAATCTTGCCAGTTAAGGCATAACAATGAAGGCGCTGACATACCCCATATTCATTAATTTACAGAATGAAAAAAAAAAAATTAAAATGTTTGATATCAAACATCCTCTTGATTTATACTCGCACTGAAGTTTATAGTTGTATTAATCATTTATGGCCCTAAAAGTCTGATTAATACACAACAAAATATTTCATGTTCCGATTGGCCAAAGCAGGATACATTATCATCAATGAACCACATTTTAATTCACTCAAAGACTTCTAACTCTCTTCAAGTTCAACTTAGTAATATTTTAAATTTGAAAACCAGATAAACCTAAAAAAAAAAACAACACAAAAACATCATTATAAAGAAATCAAAATGGAAGACTTGAGGATTATACTAACATGTTTTATTGATTGATTGACGGCACACCAGCATGCCCAACTGAAACAACCAACAACAAAATGAACCCACATTGACAATAACATTCAACAGATGAGAGAAAGAGAATAAATAATTTAATTAAATTAATCCAAAATATGGCCAGACAGAATTTCTCGTGATGAAAGATGATAATAATAATAATAATAGTACCAAAAAAAAACTGTAGACAAGTGATAAAATATATTATATGGCATTATTATTTCTTATTCCTTAAAAAAATGTCATGTGTTGATCATACAGTAAAGCTCTGGACCTTCTCATGACTTTTTACAATAAAAGGATTTTAGGTCTTATTTATGGAGATTTGTTTTCTTTCAACCTTTCATAAATAAAAACTGATAGGTGGGATTGAAGCATTTCTAATTACAGCATGTCTTTTAATAGAACAAAATGTTTGGAAATTAATTGCAAAACTGGGTTCATCTTTCCTGAATTTCATTTTTTTAAAATTAAAGCTGCTCCTTTAATATTACTGTCTTTACAAATACTGAAATAGTAAATAAAAAAATATTTTAAAAATTACAATTGACCTAGATCTAATTAAATATGATGAACTGAAAACCCTTTAAATTTTAAGTCAAGCATGGATCCAGGTTTGTGACAGACTGAAACAAGTACTCAATACAAATCATTTTTTTTTAATATAAACAACACCTTTATTAGAATGCCCCTCCCCTTTCCAAAAGAAATAATTGGTTCATGAGTATTTGTTAATTTAGATATAGAAATCTTTTAAGAGGCTTCTCAACCTAAGAAAACAACAGCTGCTCAAAGATGGGAAAGACCACTTTCAGGTAACAATTCCAAGATGTATGATCATAACGCATGATTCAATGGTCAACAAGTTTAGGATATTTAAACATTTTCCAAGCTTTATTTCTAAAAAAAAACATATCTTTGTCTAACCACATGCAGGATGTAATCTGTAATTGCTAAATTTATATATGGGTCACCTTATATTAAGTGATGACCTTGATTTTTTAAAAAAATATTTACTTGCTAAGGTATATCAACAATCTCTTCAAAAACAATAATTTCACAAAATATTATATATTTTGTTTCATCTTATTTTAAGCTTAACTTAATATGTGGGTCTAAAAATGTTCTGTCTAAATATCCAGACATTTTTAAGCCCAAATGTATTGTAGTGATACTGCAGAGAACTCAACATGATTAAGTGCTTCTAACTTCACTTATGTAGGATGCACGGCCCATGTGAGCAACATACTACTTTCAAGCTACCTTGATATAGTTTCAATTTGAGGCCATATTTCTAGAATGTTATCAATATCAATACTAATTTTACACTAAAAAATAAGATGTTTCTTTTATCATTTAGAGATTGTGTTTTTTATTGCTATTCTTTATGTTTTAGCTAGTATATTCAAAAATGAAATACTAACTGTTGACATCCTGGTTCAACAATTTTTTAAAAATTGGCAATCAAATATGACATCTTATGTAAACCTGGTTGTTCAGACACAATTTTTGTTTTAAAAAAAAAAGCTTTTTACATCACAGTAATCAAATAAATGTAACAAAAAAGAAAAAAAAAAGCAAGTAAAAATTATTTGATATATTATACTAATTTTTTTTTCCTCATGTTGTAAAATTCTGCAACCATTTAATTAAGACTTCAGTTTTAGTGCAGCGGTGTAAAGGTAGAAAAATGTCACAAAGATTATAAACAAATTTTGTTTACCACTGTACATATGCATGCTGTGCCATTTTTTCTATTACTGTACACGCTCCTTCACATCCTCCAAAACATTTTAGAATGACCTCATTTAAGAGCCTCACATGGTGAAAATTGCCATTTATGGAAAAGAAAACCATTGCAATAGAGATCACTGAATTCAATAAAATAACGTCCTCAGTCCATGACAACCGTCCCCCATCATCCATAATATCAATATTTGTATGCACAGGACTGCTTTCAGGCAGCCAGGATGCTAAGAGACAGTTGTCAAGGACTTGCTGATAAGAGTTTCAGAAATTCAGTTTTTTCTTTCTAAAAGATGGCATAGAATAAATGCCGACAACTTCACACAATCAATGTTTGAAGTGAAATAAACTAAAGCACAATCGCTTCTTAATTGCGTGATTGAAAACACCATTTTTTTTTTAAAGGTCCAGCTTCTTACTGAAACCATCACTCATTGTTCTTTTCCAGCTGTACCGAACCCTATTTTCCATATCTAAGAATTGTTTACACTTCACTGTTCAAGATCATTTTATCAAACAGGTTTATTGCGATTATTTATTTTTGTTGCATATTAGTGTGGTGTCGTCTTCATAAAAGAAGTGACTTAAAAGCATATGGCACTGCTGAGAATAAGTCCAGCTCACAATAATTATCTTTCTGTATTCATTGACATCCAACACCGTACAAGATTTCAATTTCTGATATATCCTTTGCTATTTTAGTATCGTAGGTTACCAGGCACATCATTGCGCTTTACAACGAGTCAACGGCACATTTATAGCTTACTCAACAGAACCTTTCATTTCCCACTATTGAATGGATCAACCTTTGTCTAGAATTTTTTTTTTTTTTTGGGCAAACTGCTGTTGGACACTCATGCCGACACAATAAATAACATTAAACGCTTTCAGTAAGAGCTTAAATAAATGCAAAAACTGGGTGATCACATTGTTTTAGTTGTCCTGAATACACTTGGTCATGTTGCACATTATCAGTATCGAACATTTCATCCCATCGGACTAGTCTTTGCTGTGGGTTATTTCACGCTGGTTCAATACACCACAGTGATAGTTTTGGGAGCTTCCGATGTGTATCAGACAGGGTCCGGTACAGTGGCAACCGTCCACAGGAAGTTACAATTGAAAAAAAGTATTTAAGTCCATCCTTTGTTTAGCAGTGACTCAAACATTGGCCTTGTCGATACCTCCATTGCTCACTCTCACGATCAGGTCATTTCAAATTATAACAGTTTCATCCAGCATCATTCCATCTTACAATGTACTTGTTCACTTTACATTTGTTTGTTCATTGCTGTGGGGGGTAGGAAGCATTCAAGTATGTACACGACTTTATTAGCAGCAGCAAGTTATAGAGAACAGTCAAGATTAAGAAATATTTCCAAGTATAGAGAATTACAGTTACAAAGGCTAACTAAAACTATCTTAATAGTATTTTCTAGGTGAATATCAGTATGTTTGGTATGAGCTAAGTTTTGTATCATGAAGCCTTTCTTAAAACCTAAATACAGCGGAAGTGAAATATGAACTGACTCATTCAACTGCTCATGGTGGTCTCTTGTCTATCCCACGGATACTGTTAGCAAGTGTACATGAATAATTACATACAGTTATATTTTCTTATTAAAAATATTTTCCCCGTTGAAATATGAGCCTATTTTTAATTTAATTATTAAAAATATCTATGATTTAAATAAAAGACAAGAAAATCTCTCAGTACATATTTCCAAGTACACATTATTATACAATACAACAGCATCTGTAGAACCCCAACTTGCAAATTTAATAGCTGAATTTTATTCTGACCAATGCAATTAAGTTTAAGTATAAGTGGTTAGGCAAATAAAAATGTGTTTCGTTCTTTTTAATTCATTTTGATATAAAACAACCGATTTTCTTTTAAGAAAATACATTTATGATAGTTTCAAAATGATCTATGCTAAAACTAGAGTTGAATAAGTGTTTAATTAAGCAGCTCTTTACTAAAGAAATTACTAATAATTTTTAGCGTTCTTTTTAGCTTCGCTGTAATAATACAGGGGAGAGGAGACAACCTAATAGTTTTTATTTATAATTCTTTTGATACAACTGTCCCAACCCTATGCCAACCAGTTAGGTACGTATTCAATGATTATACACTGAACAGATGAATACACAACATAATGATCAATTTCCTGGTACTGTGATGTAATTCTGCTTACAAAAAAAAAAAATAATTAAAACATAAAAGTAATAAATAAGTAGTAAAAAAAAAAATAATAAAAAACACATCTATTTATATATCACTAGTGGAAGTGGCAACCTTAAAGTTTCAGCCAAAGTCAACCATATTAATGTCTTTAATAATTGTCATATTGGACTCCTGATAAAACAACATTGGAAAAGTGAATGAAGGGAGGGGAAATTTTGAAAAGGCAACACTAGATAATACAGTCCTAGCCGCAGTTGATCAGGAAGCTGTATGTGTCACCTAGCTTTCAACTCTTTACCCCCAACATCGATCAAAGTAAGAAATACATTTATCCACCATGGAAAGAATTCTCAGCAACCTTCTTTGACGTTTTAAGTACAAACACAAAGATATGGTTGGTGGTGCCTAAAAATTTGAAAAAGGTGATGAGACTATGCAACTAACATTAAATATTGGGTTATTTTGTAGACGGAGACAAGAAAATACTGGACAGCTAGTTAGGCAAAGAGGAATCCAGGGAAATCTCTTCCATGGGGTAATCGTAGTCAGGAACCGTCTGGTCTACACCTTTCTGTACCAGAACAGGCCGATTGGGAGGCTCCACCATTAGCGGGCGGGTGAACCAAGGATGATCCAATGCCTCTGCAGCACTCAGGCGCTCACTGGGTTCCCGACGGAGAAGGTTGCGTACCAGGCACTTAGCACGAGCTGGCACGGTATCAGGAATCTTGTAGGCGCCGCGACGAATTTTTCCAAAAAGCGCTATTGGTTCCCTATCGTGAAATGGGTAGCGGCCAACAAGCATGGTGTATATCATGACACCCAAGCTCCAAAGGTCGGCACATTTACCAGAGTATCCGTTTCGGGCTGACAGGATCTCAGGACTAACATAAGCAGGGCAGCCATGCTTGTCTGTTAAGGTGTCCGATGCTTCATCATCCTCAAGAGTGATGGCATCATCAAGACCATCGAGTCGAAGTTCAGTTCTGTGGGACAACATGAAATTATGATGAAGTGTGTTGTAAAAAAAATTTAAAAATTCAAAATTTCAATAGCAAAGTTACCATTTAAGTATGAAAATATTATGACCCTATTTCTAGTAGCTGCTACAAAAATATTACAGTGCATTTGGTTTACACATGAGGTAGAAGTAGTAATCACAATTTAAATGATGAATTTCTGGCAACTGAGTAAATATATAGCTACAACTACAAAGCTCATGGACTTGAACATGGGTTGTTTTTGATGTTTTGTTTATTGAAAAGTGTGACATGTTTATTCCTGGCCCGCCTGAACCGGTATTAACACAGCTGCATCCTCCAGGGAAAAATAAAGTTATCCTCAAAACAGAGACATAAAACAAACTGTTCCAATGCCAAAGACTGCAATTTTTCCTTCATTGTTTTAAACATAAAATATGTATTTCACTGAATTCTGTGTGGCTGATAATGAGTTTCACAATCATGTTTCACTGGCAACAATCCCACAAAAATGTTAAGGAATATTCATGTGGGGAATAATATATGTGGTGAAAAATCATCAAACGGTTTACGCACAAACAAAGTAACTAAACATCCTTTTGCTTTATTTTTCACATCCTGAGTATTTTATCTGACGACCAAATTGAATATACACAAGTACGCAATGAAAAATTCAGGCCATAAAGATATCACAGATGCTTCTAAATAACAAAAGATTAAATGAGATTAAAGAAATGTGCAAGTTCACCTACCTCTCTGCATCTTTAAAGACAAACTTCCTCAGTTTGAGATCTCGTAAAATAACGCCATTTTCGTGACAATGATGCACGGCGGCAACAACTTGGCGTGCAAGTTCACGGGCTTCAGCCTGCTTAATTTTCTTCTTCTCCCGCACATACGAGTGAAGATCTCCATAGCCTCGTTCAAAGAAGACATAAGCTGAAGTTTGACCAAGGATTATCTCCCAGATGCTGACAATGTTAGGGTGACCATCAGTAGCAAAATAAGGGGCAAGGTTTTGTCTATATTTACACAATGGTAGAACCTAAATGAAGAAAAAAAGATAATATCAGACACATGCTAAAATTGATGACTATTGTGGTAGTTGTTAATGTGAATGATTTATTCACCTGAAGATTATTGCTGATCTTAGTGTCCGGTGCTAGCTAAAATGAATCAGAATATTTTTTTTCTTACTTGCACTAATTTACTTTCATTTAATATTATAAAACCACTTATAATAATAATATTTTTTATATGCATAGTCTTAGGTGAGTTTTTATGAAATTAAAAATACCGTTTTTTTTTTTTTAATATTTTTTTTTTTTTTTTTTATGCCCACTAATGCTATTTAGGGGCCAACCGCAAATGAAGACGTGAAAAGAAAGAAGGAAAAAAAAAAAGGGGGGGGGGTCACGATTTTCGGCGATGTTAAATTTTGTTGTTAAGGAATGTTGCGACTAATTTGCATCGGGGAAAAAAAAAGGGGGGGGGGCGTATCAAAATTCGGCCAAACTAGCAAGACGTCATATAGGCCTAAGTATAGGCCTCTTACTGAAACAACAAAGTGGTGTTTGTTGTGGATTTAATTTTAATATTTAAATCCCATCAAATAAAAATCTCTACTTTCCTTCCACAAATGACTACCGTATTACTGTATATATTTAATCTATTTTTAAGTCACAGCGACGAAATAATTTTATATAATGTAAACAATTCTTAAAGTTTTATAAACAAAAAATAATAATAAAGTAGCTGCGAAGGCGTTTCAGAAGTCTGAAAAGTATGCAACTACAAAAATCTTTGGTCACGTGCACCCTTCTGATGATGAACCCCTTGATGTGCCAGTAGCGGGCTGACCAGTTAAGGTTAGGGTGGTCAACATCAGATAACACAGAGCACCGAGCGATCCGCGGGCAATCCTCTCGTCCACTTGTCATAAATGACCCCGACACATGGGTTTTATCACGTAGCGAGCTGAGGCCGCAACCGCAAAGCTAACGGACTGAGCAGGTCAGCCAACCAGCCAGAATGTCATACCAGACCGTGCGCTAGTTTTACTGTGCATGATGAAACCGCAACACTTTAATCAATACCCTTACGTCTGGCTAATCTAAATCAGCTACCGGTAGTATTAAGTGTATTTGTTATGCTTAAGATAAATAATTCGCGAAAACATTAAATTGTTTTAATCAAACAGGACCAAGCATGCTAAAAATAACTGTCATGTGACCGTGAGTTAAGATTCCTTTTTAATGCGGCAAAAGTCATGTGACTAACATAAATTAATTTCTGACTATGACTAGTGTCTCGATCTTATCTTGCGATTGAACTAAAATTAAGATTTTTTCAACACAGGATTTTTAAATTATCGAAAAGATGGGGTTGGCCAACTATAAGATAAAGATAAGCAGCCGTGCAACTTATTGACTTAGCTATGCTAACACTATACTATATAATTTTCACTGCTTGTGCTTTTTACATTGGAGAAAACTAACGGCAACGGTTTTAGCCTTCCCTTTGACTTGAAATTCATTTATGGCGCGCAAAACAAGAAGAAATTCCATTGTTTTTTGTTAAGCCCGCACTAGCTATAGAAACATGTCCTAGTAGTTAGTAGGTGATGTTACTTTAATCATTATCATCCCCATCAATGTTTGTTGGACAAAATATAAGCCTATAGACTATATATAATATAGTTGTCTTAGTTATAGTATATTGTGGACATTTAAAAAAAATATAAAATATTGCTGTGATCACTAATTTTACTTTTTTGATTTTACAGTCTAGTCAATTTTATCACAATCATTGAAATATACATTTTACCTTCTCATTTCTGAACCCATAGCCATAATCCATATGCATAATAATTTGGACTTGTACTTAACTATTAACAGAATAATAAAGGTTTTTACAATTTTTATAAATTACATCTAAGAAAATATTATGGAGCCGTAGGTAGGGTAGGAATGTTACATTTTTACTTTATTTAAGAGCCCATTTTAAGTCTATTAGTCTATAGAGAGCAACATCCTTTGAAGTCAAAGAGCAATGTGTTGCTAGGCCAGAAAATAATATGGCAATATGGGGCGGATAGTTATGTTATAGCCTGATATATAAAATTAAAATAAATAAATAATACTAAGTTCCGGGTAATATAAATATACAATGTTGGTTTTACCTTGCATATAAACTCCTGGCCTGTGGTTTTATCAATGGCAGTACAACATTCAACTGATGGATTGGACTGATGAATGACATATTTTCCGATCACAAGAAATTGCTCTTGCACTGCTCCATCTTCAGGAGTGCAAAATGTTGGGGGTGAACATGGTTGTAAATCAGGTGATAAATTACCTAAGTCTGGTGGGTGTTCATATTCCACTTTCTTTTTGGGCCCATGACTAATCTGCAGTCGTGGCCTTGAGCGCTGTCGGTTCATAGAACCAACTAGGAATGATAGGGGGGAAAAGTTGGACAAGTAATCACACCACTGGATAAAGTGAAATACACTGGTCCGGAATCTTGAATCACAGATACACTTGTTGCATTAAAATAACAAGACAATACTATTATATAAAAAGTTATTTATAGCAAAATAGCACCAAAGATATTCTGAGTATGGTAATTATTGAATGCTGCCTGTGGCCTGTGGTCTTTTTTTAAGTCTAATTTTGTCAAGCCAAAGAGTCGAATTTAAGCACTTGACTTGAAGGGGATAAAGGTGGAGGTATTACGGCCATTATTGTGATTAGGTTCATATCAAGAAATGTAAATCAAATGTTTGAAGTGTTTCTCATCTTAGCACCTTCAGCAGAAAAGTTAATACTGTTAACGTATGAAATGTTTTTGGTATAACCAACACCTGTAGTATTGCATCTGACTTGTGCCATTTTGGTTGATTACGAAGGTATTATGCAATCAAAGTTTTATCAGAAAGTCAGCATGTCACAGTGAATAATCCAATCAGAATATAGTTTCTGGGTGTTGAAGAAACTATTGATTGCAAGTTAAATGCATTTATCAAACTCGAACATAAAACAAAATTAATTGAAAGTGAGTATAGTATAGTGAGGCCTAACTAACATGAGTCTGTTTAAAATATTGCATTGTGCAGGCCTAGTACATATAAAAACTAGTTATTCAAATCAAACTAATATAATTCCTTATGAAGAATTTAGAATAAAAAGGTGTCCACGGTGATTATGTCACAACACTGTGAAACAGTTTATAAACAAAGACGCAGTTACTAGTACCATTTCCATAGCGGGTGATTTTATGACGAAATCACTGTCAGTAGTGTCAGAGAATGCTCATGACAGAGGATTTCTGACTTTGGTGTTGTAAATGAACACGTGTTGCTTATAACATCGTATGCTTATTTTATTTCATCAAATGATGAAATACACAGTAGTCCCGAGAGTGTTGGGTGGCGATCACATCAAAGGTAGCCAACCAGTGACTCACCAACTCACAACACTTGGAGCTCTGATCCTTCGTCGATTTTCTGGTGTGGCGATTCGCATCGGGTTACCAAAACCCACAAAGATGAACAATCGCTTTGAAATTTTGGTTGAAATCAATCTTGACAACACAGTAGTTGTTGGGATCTTGTTTTAAACCTAGGAAGGGTTCCTTGAACCAACCCCTCCAAGTTTTAAAACAGCACAAGAAGAGAATCAACCGACGACGCCATTATAAAATCTTGGAGTGACACGGTAGAACGGAATTACTCGGACAGGATACGTTTACTTGTATCAATGCGCTTCTGTCGAAAAGTAGTTTGAACTTTAAAAAACTAGTAATAAATTGTTTAATGCATAAAAATATTTGAAACTAATAAATTATTGCAAATTTATAAAAATTATATGAGTTATGATCGGTTTAATGATTAAATAAACTAAAATCAAAGTATTTTGTATAAAAAAAAGCTTTTGTTTAGTTTCTAGCCACGTGATTAATGACGCAGGGAATTCCCAATACATTACCTTATAAGGAAACCTAAATATAGGACCAATTTTATTACGTGATCTAATTTTAAAAACAAAAATGAAACCAAAATTTAAAAATGCACATTTTACATAGAATATGGATTCCTGAATTTAATCAATTTTAAGAGTTAATTAAAGTTAGTTATTTTTTGAGACGACAAATATATTGAAATAAATAGCTTGAAGTAAGCAAATTTAACTGACTAAAATTTTACATTGTTACATGAGATGCACTTAGATACAAGGGTAATGTGCCTAATTCAAACCAGATATAAGAGAAAATAAATTGTATTTACTGTTTAAAACCTTAATTATTTCCTTCAATTTGCAATCATTAATATTAAGCAAATGCAACGGGCCAATATTGAAATGTATTAAAATATATTTCTTTTTGGTTTCTGTTTAGGCCAATAAAATTTTTAAGGTCGTTTAGCCCTTTTTATATGTGTAAGGCAGTGAGGTATAAGTATAAGTATAAATCAACATTTCGGGTAAAAATTGTTTGAGGTAGTATCAGGACTACGTCTAATTTGACTTTTTTGCTACTTCTCCTATTAAATCTATTTTAAATTGAAATAAATAATTTTGAACTGTGTTTTAAAATATATTACGCAGTTTTGAATGACCGAAAATGTTCTAGATTCTACAGGAGAAAATCTATAGATTGCGTAGACATGTGAATGCACAATGTTGATACTTTGAAACGATTTCATTGGTGGAAAATAACACGTGACCAAGCAAGGCGTTTAGGACGTTCCACGTTTGACTGTGAACGTATTTCAAGCAGATGATGAAACTTCTAGTAACTGGGTTAAACTATTGTCTTGTTTGCAATTTTAATTATATATTTGTCGATCATGTGTTGGTAATAAAAAACGTAATTATCAATTCAACATGTAAAATGTAATTGGCACCAACTAATCAATTAATAGATTGTGTTGATTTTTAAAATTGAAAAGTAAAGACTGTTTGTTACACATATTAAATCGGTGACAAGTTATACTTATAGACTTATTCATTGATTCAATATAACATAAAAATTCAGAGAAAGCTATCATTGTTGTTAATACTACTGCCGTGTTCAAGCATCAAGCAGTTACGTAACTGCTAATAAGGGCGTCCTTACTCATCCATCTAGGGGATGAGGTGGGGCGGTGAGCGAATGTGTGACGTTGTATGTCGAGGGTATCTGAATTTTGTGACCAATGTGTGATGAGAGTATCTTCATTTGCGACAAATCAGTGATCTTTTTTCTTGAGGGGGGGGGGGTAAAAACCTTTTAAAAACAGCGTGACGTCATCATTTATGGGCTCCTGCTGTGAGCAACCGCACCATAGGTCAATAACTAATTTTGAGAAAAAAATTATTAATCAACATGACATAATTAAAATGAAATTAATAACTAATTAGGAATTATGAAGATAAAAGAAAATATTAAGACAGTTAAACTGTGTGAGTTCTCAATTTTTAAAAAAAAAATGATTAAATTGGTTACTTTGGCGCAGGAAGCGTAGGAAAGAGGTGCGGAGGAGGGGGGGGGGGGCTTCCCGGGCGACGGTTTGTTCTTTAGATGGAGGGGCTGAATTACGGCCAGTTGCATTTAAAATATATTTATGATTAAATTGGTTACTTTGGCGCAGGAAGCGTAGGAAAGAGGTGCGGAGGGGGGGGGGGTGCTTCCCGGGCGACGGTTTGTTCTTTAGATTGAGGGGCTGAATTACGGCCAGTTGCATTTAAAATATATTTTAAAATGTGAAAAGTGATGGCAATATCACTAGGAACGCCACTGATTTCAAACTCTCTTTCTTCCCCCTCCCCCCCCCTCCCCCAGTTTTTTCCTACTGTTACAATGAAATACATGTTAATTGAAAGGCGAAAAGGAATTCAGAATCTAAAGAGAAGTCGATCTACTGCCTTGGTTTACGGACTCATAAGGTGGCAAAATCAATTTAAAATTACGCAAAAAGACTGGAATGAAATACATCACATAGGGAGCCGTATTTCTAAAGCGTTAACTGTTTTATGATAATTAACGGTAAAGCTATTATAAGTTAATGGTAAAAAATCTCATACAAGGACCAACATAATTTTGATTTTAGAAAGAGTCATCAATCAAAGCTTCACGTTCCCAGTCAATTTTATTTTTAATCGCTAAACAAAAAAGAAAAGTTAAAAAATAATGTGTTTGTATTATCTATTTATGATGTCAAACGTTGGGTGGTTAGAAAATACTTTTTTATTATTTGGGATAATTAATATGTTGATTGGGAATCACTGCTTTATCACGTCATCACCAAATGCGTGTCATGACCAAACAGAAGCGAATGTATCAATGAAAATAGGTCAACGAAACCGTGCGATCAAGCTTCATAGCGATTGCACCACAACCGGGACTACTTTTTTTTTTAACGCTTCCGAACTTCCAGTGCATGATTATGAAACATACCCATTGGTTAAATTGTTGGCCATTTGACACAAATAAAATTACGTTTTTGCGGATTTTAATTTTATTTTTTTTAAACTGAAGTGTTGCTATTAAGTATTAGGGCTAAATGTTGATATCTTTTTAAAGACTAAATGTCATTAACTTTATGTATTATCAACTAAATATATATTCAAAGTTATAGAATTCATTCATTACTTACACAAACGATGTGTATAATCATAATTTGACATAATATTAACTGATTAGGACAACGGTTCTCAACCTGTGGGTCGCGACCCCTTGGGGGTCGAACGACCCTTTCCCAGGGGTCGTGAAAGACCATCGGAAAACACATAAACTGTACATTTATGAGTTAGCAAAACGAAAATAATTGTGTGGTTGGGGGTCGCCACAGCATGAGGAATCGTATTAAAGGGTCGTGGCATTACATATGTTGAGAACCACTGGATTAGGACAACGGGACGTCGTCATGGTCAGAGGGATGCAGATTTGGAGTCTTAAATTAAAGTATTTGCTTCTGGAACCTGGTATAAGGATTTAAGTTGGATTTCCTAGTTTCGGCATTTAACCTTTATCAGTGGCGTAGCTAGGGCAAGTGCCGCCTGGGGCGGGTCAAGAGATTTGCCATCCCCTTTCCACGACTCCCCTCCCCCACTTACGGTTGAGAGAAAATTCTGCCGTTACATATAAAGAAAAAGATGACTCCCGGGGCGGACCGCCCCCACACTGCAGCCCCTTCCTACGCTCGCCTCTATACTTTATGCATCCATTAGCTGAAACATGGTAGACTACAGGAGCTGAGGCAGGATGGCGGATTTGTAGGAGCTAAGACAGCAAGGTTGGTTTGGAGGAGATGAGACAGCAAGGTTGGCTTGGAGGAGATGAGACAGCAAGGTTGGTTTGCAGAAGCTGAGACAGCAAGGTTGGCTTGCGGGAGCTGAGACGGCAAGTTTGGCTTGCAGGAGCTGAGACAGCAAGGTTGGCTTGCAGGAGCTGAGACAGCAATTGGGTTTCAGGAGCTGAGACAGAAAGTTTGGCTTGCAGGAGATGAGACAGCAAGGTTGGCTTGGAGGATATGAGACAGCAAAGTTGGTTTGCAGGATCTGAGACAGCAAGGCGGATTTGCTGGACCTGAGACAGCAAGGTTGATTACAGGATTTAAGACAACAAGGTAGACAACAGAAGTTAAAACAGCAAGGCAGACTACACGATTTAAGGCATCAAGGTAGACTACTGGACTGTTACGTTATCTGAAGGAGCTGAGACTGCTGGGTGGACTGCAGAAGCTGGGACATCAAGAGGGTTTGAAGGACCTGAGGCAGTTAGATGGTATGCTGGAGTTGAGACGGCTAGGCGAGACAGATGATCTGAAGGCGCTGAGACAACTAGATGATCTGAAGGCGCTGAGACAACTAGATGATCTGAAGGTGCTAAGACAACTAGATGATCTGAAGGAGCTGAGACAACTAGATGATCTGACGGTGCTGAGACAACTAGATGATCTGAAGGTGCTGAGACAACTACAAAGACCACAGTTGCTGAGACAGCGTCAGTGTTTCCCAAACTTTTCAAGTTCATTCATAAAGGACATCCCCAAAGATGGGTCGCTGAGGATTGGGGTGTTTCGGTCAAAAGCAGACAACCGTGGACAGGGGAGTGGGGGGGGGGGGGGGGGGGGGTTTAAAATTTAAAAGATATCTCGAACATCCTCAACCACATTGTTTTGTTACTATCTGCTTAAGGCCCACTGCATGTATTTCAGCACTTGAACATTCCTACATGGCTGAAATATTTGCGTAACTGCAAACAAAATCATCATAATTTTAAACCACTAATAAATAAGTAAAATAAATAAAATTAATGAGGAAATTTCTCTAATATTTTGTTGATATTTATTAACAGATGGGGAAAAATCGAGTTTGTTTTTGTTTTTGTTTTTTTGTGTGTGTTTTTTTTTTTTTTTTTTTGTTTTTTTTTTAAACTTTAAATATTTCTTAGATCTGGTTGGGTTTGCTTCAATGGAAAGATTGATATTTTTAAGACTTACTTAAAAATTTTACTTTTATTGAAGCTTTTCTTTTTTTTCAAGGTATTACATGATTGTTATATTCAAATGCTGAGCTGACATGTGATTTGATTTGAGTAACCAATGTGGAAGGGGGAACTCTAAGCCTTGAATTCAAGTTTTGGTGTTTGGACTCTAGGGCAGCGTATGAACAAAAATAGTAAC